GGATCAATTTTAAACCCCAGCCAGGCATTCCCAGCCCTCTGAAGTCTGGCCCCAGCGTCCCTGTGTAGCCTTTGCCTTGCCCTTCATCCCAAACACACAGCCTCATGAAACTGCCCATGTTCTTCTGACATACTCAGGTTCTCTCACAACCAAATCTTTGCATCTTTCTGTCTTCTAGAGAATGTCTACACACACTGCAAGGCCCAAGGAAAAACTCTGCATCCTCTGAGAAGCCCTTCCCAACCTTTTTTCAGAGAGCAAGGCAAAACTATTCTCTCTTTCCTGTGAGTCTCCCAGTACTTTCTATCACCCTAGGTCACAACACCTGTCACTCTGCTCCATAATTATTTAATAATCCCTGTGCAAGACAGTTTGTACAAGCTGCTTTGTGTAAGCCTCGAGAATCCTTTGATGTAGATGATGATGATGATGATGGTGGTGGTGGAGCGATGGCAGTGGCGGTGAAGAGGAAGATAAACACTTACCAGGTGGAAACCCTACTCTAAGGGTTCTGTGTGCACAGCCAGACTCCTTTATCCTCATTGACACCTCTGAGAAGTGGGTTTTTTAAAATTTCCGGACCCATCTTACATCTGGAGTCACTGAGGTCCACAGAGGTGAATTTACTTGCCCTAGGTCAACTACTAAGTGGCAGAGCCAGGTCCTAACCCAAGCAGCATTTCAGGCATCCACTGAGCTTCAGCTCTTTTAAAGAGGACACTGGGGCTCAGGAAAATCATTGGCTCAGCAAACTCACCATTCTCATAAGGAGCAAAGTCATAATTTGCATCCAATAACCTCTAACCCTACAGCTCTACACTCCTGCTTGGCCCCCACTTAAACTTCCTGCTAAGTATTCTTCAAGCCAAACCCCCATTCCTGGCCTGTCTAGCTCCCTTCCTTTCTCCCCACAAACCCCCAGAGACTTGCTTTCTCCTCTTCCCAGCCTGATTCTCCCCTCATCTCACTCACTCCCCATCCTGCCACACCTTGATTCCCTGGAAGGAACACCCGCCCGCCCTCACCCTTGCCCTAGTAAAGTTTGCAGCTTCCCTGGTAGGCAGGGGTCCGCCACACGTGTGAGATTTTCCCATTCCACCATTTCCCTATCCGGACTGAGGTAGGCTGAGGCAGTGGAAGAAACAAGCCTTCATGGCACCCCTCCCCTGCCACTGGGCCTCAATTTCTCCATTGGTAAGGGGTAAGATGGAAAATGGCCCTGCCTGATCACCTACTTGGGCTGAGAGGCAGCTCTGATGGGGTAACAGTGCACAGGCTGTGTAAACGCTGATGTTCAGACCAGGAGCACCTCACACCTGGGCCACGCTTAAGAAGATGAGGTCACAAATCAGCCAGGAACCCAGCTCTCCCTCCCTGGCAGGTTACCCAATATCCCTAAGTATCCCACTCTAAAGAATGGGAATCACAACAGTACATTTAGTCAGGAACCATCATGAAAACTGAGTACAGCAAAGGTCTGCATGTAAAGGATTCCTAGCACATGAGTCCATGAGATGATGGTAAGAAGTGTTCAGGGACAGGCCCTGCCTCCCTCTGCAGGAATCAGACTCCCATGGGAACCTTGGCTCTCCAAGCAGTCCCCAGTCCAGCCACCCTGCCCACAAATAATAACTCAAATTCATCATCCAGCCTAGTGACAGAAGGTCCTAAAACTGCCTGGCTACCACAGATTGTGACAGAGCTCCTCACCCTCATCCAGTCCTTCACCACCCCTGCAGGAGTTTGCCTGGACTCTGCTCCAGGCTGACCCGATCTCATCTCCAACTCTACTGCTTCCTTGCTGGGTAATCTTGGGCAAGTTATTTCCCTTTTCTGGGCCTTTCCTAGCCTCATCTGTAAAGTGGGCAGGACACTCTCAATCTGGGAGGGTTCCTGGGAGGATCACAAGTACCGGACATACAGGAAGTAAAAAATCTTTAAAGCTCTAGTACCCTCACTTTCTGGATGAAAAGACTGAGGTTCAGAAAAGTTCTGTTGCTTGCTCCACAGCCAGGAAGATGGAAGCTGGCCCCAAGTCCAGGGGCCCAACTCGTGCACAGGAAGGTGCCTGCCAGCTACTGAGTTTATGAGGCCATAAGGACAAAGACCTGTGTGAGTATCCTTCATGGTATGCCTCGTTACACACTCACTAGCCATGGCCGGCCCGCAGTGCCGGGTCCTCCAGAGTGGGTCAGAGGGAACAGGGTCAGAGCAGGCTGGTCATGCAGGTGAGGCTATGTATCCTGCACCCGTCAGAAGCCCCACATCCACAGACAGGAAAGCACTGGACTTGTCCTAGTAAACTGCACAGCAAAGACAGAGCCTTTATGCCACAGCCAACTGTTAACACTGTGCCTTGGTGTTCCAGCCTGAGTCTGGGCAGAGATGCTGCAACGCACTGCCTCAGCCTTGCTGTTGTATTAGGGCTGCCTGCCGGTAAAAGACTGGAGCACTGGCTCTGGGTCACTTTGACTCTTCTCTTTGTTGTGCGGCTTTTGTTTACATTTTTGCAGCACTAGGAGTTGAACCCAGGGCCTTTGAACTGAGTGACATCTTCAGCCCTTTTTATTTTTTAGCTTGAGACAGGAACTCACTAAGTTGCTAAGTTGCACAGGCTGGGCTCAAACTTGTGATCCTCCTGCCTCAAACTCCCAGAGTGTTGGGATTATAGGCATGCCCTACCATGCTTGGCTTTTTCTCTCTTTCAAAGACAATGATAAGATAACATTTTTCACAGATCTGATGGACAAAGACTAAAAAGGCAAACCAGGCCCAGTATTGATCAGAGGATTGTGAAAGGGCAGGTCCTTTTATGGCTAGTTAAAAAGCACAATATGTTTTGAAGGACAATTTGGCAAAGTCTAAAAACTGCACCTGTCCTCTGACCTTCTAATCCCTTTCCTATAAGGATTTGTACTGAGTTATTGGTACACTGTTGGTTCACAGAGTTGGTTATAATTGCTTCAAAGTAGAAACTACCTAACATATTCATTAGTAGAAGACTGGTTCGAACAATGAGAGGCTGTCATTCAGGCATTAAAAATTGCACTGAGCCCTCAGTTCCACCTGAAAAATATGTCAGGAAGGCTGGAGGTACAGCTCAGTGGTAGAGCGCTTATGTAACTGGCATGTGTGAACCTGTGGGTTCAGTCTCCAGTGCCACAAAAATTTAATTAACTAAAAATTGTATTGGGAAAACATTTACTTGCAGAGAAATGTTTATTATAGATTAAGAGTACAACACAATTTGTATCAGGAATGATATAAATTGATATAGCTAGGCAAAGTAAGCTTTTTTACATGAGGGCAGGTCTCTTTGGAATATTCCCTCTTGGAACCCAGCTGCCATTCTGTAAGGAAGCCCAGGCTGTCCTGCAGGGGACAAGTGGAGAGAATGGCCCAACTATGTGTCCACTGGATGCCTGAGTGACCCCAGTTAACAGCACATGGAACGGAACTGCCTGGTCAATCCACAAAATCCTGAGAAGTAATAAATTATTGCCACTTAAAACCACTACAGCAATGGGCAGCTGAAACACTGTTTTTATATCCTTTAATCCAGAATGGATAGAGAGCTTTTGTGCAGAAGTCTCCAGACACGTGTCCAGCTTCACTGTGAGTCCCAGGAAACCAGATCCTTGAGTGAGCCCAACTTGCTGAGCCTCTACTGCTGGCTTTCACAAAATCTAGCACACATTAGGTGCTTAACAAATATTTATCAGACAAGTGAATAAATGTCTTAGTTAACACACATTGTAGCCCTGTGAGGAAAGAACTGTCACTCAGTTGATACCCATTCATGTCAGCAAAATGCAGATACTGTATTACAAAAGGTAAAAATAATCACCCCTAATTGTACTACCCACAGATAATTTCAGATAACATCCAGAATACATTTAGAGAAATCCAACCTCATGGTAGCTACGTACTTCAGAAACTGTGACAAGCATATGCTCCTATAACCTCAAAAATATTGTGGATTCCTTTCCATGTCCATAAACACGTATCTCCAGTCAACAGCTTTAATGAACACACGTGCCTGTGTGACATCAGGAGTTATAACCCCCCTGCCCCCAGCAGGCCCCCACAGCCTTGTCTGCAGCAATGCTAGGAGGTTACCTGTGGCAACCCTTTCACGACAGAGCCCTAGGAACTACCTGCCCAGCAAATTTGTGACAGAGCCGGGAGTTGAGCAGAGGCCCCTTCTCTGAGTCCAAGGTCTTGTCTCCAGCCAGCCAAGGCACTTTCCCTTTCTCACGAGCCAGCTAGATAAGAACTATCCTGGGTTTGGGGCCTTTAACCTCCTCAGGGAAAGGAACTGCTCCTCCAGGTTCTGCTCTGGTTCTCACCGCCCCTCTGTAAAGGGTGAGTCAGTCGCAATGTCATGAATGAGTCAGCCAGCTTGTCTGTGATGAATATGCATGTGACTGCCAGGTGGCAAGCAGGTGGGAGCCGGGCGGGGAAGCCTGCACTGGTGGACACTGGCTGGGTGGTGGCTGCCGGGTTAGGAGGTGAGCTATGTGCTTCCTTTCTGATCCGATTGCTGCATGATAGATTCTCAAAGTGAGGAGGCCCGGGTTTCATATGTTATGTCCATTGGGTCCGGGGTTTAGGGGGTCCCCAGACTCACCCTAGCTAGGCTTGTCTCTCTCACTCTGTTGTACAGAAAGAGGAAGAGGAGTCAGAGAAGATAGGTGCAAAGCAAAAATTTTATCACAGATAGTATAAAAAGAAGCGGTACAGAGCCACTCCAGAGGAGTGGGGGCGCCCAGAGGTGGGTCATGAACAAATCTGGGGCTGCAGCACTGTTTTCTGAATCTCTCCAGTGTCCCTGCTGTTCCTCCACTCTCAAGGGTGCCAGGTTAATTCCTCACACTCAATCTTTATGGAGGACCTCCTGTATGCTAGGTCCACGGCCAAGGCACTGAGTCCTTCCCAGAGATTACTGTGGGCCCATTATACAAAGAGAAAATGAGGCCCACAGGGAATAAGAAACTCACCAAAGATGGCACCGTTGGGCCATAAAGCCAGAGCTGAACTGTCCCGAAACTCTGCCCTTTGTGGGGCTGCAACCAGGTCCTCTCCTTCCAACCTCGGAGATCACTGCCCCCTGCCAAAAAAAAAACAGTACACAGAAACTGAGAGATGAACCAGGTGCATGCCTAGAATGCCAGACTCAGGAGACTGAGGCAGCAGACAGCTGTGAGCTCAAGGCCAGGGTTGGGCTTCATAGTAAGTTTAAGGCCATAATGAGTTTAGGTCATGAAACTCTAACAAAAACAGAAGTCAAGCAAAGTAGATGCTTCCTACCTTAAAATAAACCAAGCTCTGGGGATATAAAGAGTTGGAAATTAGAAGAGTTGCCATTTTTAAAGTATATGTCAGCCATTTTCTCCCTTCATAATCACAATCAATCTCTGAGGTGAGTACCGGCATTATTCTCATTTCATTTGGGGAAACAGACTCAGGTTAGGTTACACAGCCAAAACCAAACAGCCAGCAAGTCACTCTCCAAATCCTGTGCTCTGCCTGCCATACATTTCCGATGGGCCTCCTCCTTCATTCATTGTTTGATTCACTCATTTATAAAACATTTATAGTTTCTTTTCTGTGCCAAATAATTTGTTGGACAAGGGAACAGAAAGATGCCTGAGATCCTGACCTGGAGAAGTCATTATCTACAGGGAAGATAAGACTCAAATAATCGTAATCTAAGTGATAACACTGCGGGCTTGACTCTTATTTTTTCATTTAATGGAGGGGCAAAAACAGTGCCTGCATAATATGGGAGCAAATTACCTTATTTCCCCAAGCTTCAGAAAATGAAGTGAAGGCCAGGTGTGGAGGCTGAGGCAGGAGGATTGTGAAGAGTTTGCAAATTCAAGGTCAGTCTAGGCTACATAGTGAGTTCAAGGCCAGTCTGAACTACACAGTGAGAACCTGTCTTAAAAAAGCAAATAAAAAAATGCCTGCCTTGCAAGCATAAGGCCTGGAGTTCAATCCCCAGTACCAAAAAAAAAAAAAAAAAAAAAAAAAAAAGACAGAGGGAAAGAGACAGAAAAACTCCTAGAGCTCCTGTGGGAGTTAAATTAACTGATATATTATATTAATTCACTCAACAAATATGTACTGATACCCAGTGTGTAGCAGCTACTGGTTTTTTTTTTTGGTGATAGGAATGCTGGAGGAAGTAGACAAGAGACATTATCCTGGAACCACATAAAGATTTTAAATACAAATTCTTTTCTTTTCTTTTTTCCAGTACTGGGGATTGAACTGAGGCCTCACACACACTAAAAAGGTGCCCTACCACTGAACTGCACCTCTAGCCATTTTTATTGAGACAGGATCTCATCGAGTTGCCCAGGCTGGCCCTTGAACTTTTGATTCACAGCTAGAACTCCTGCCTCAGTGCTGAAGTAGATGGGATTACAGGTACCACCCTGCTCAGCTTTCTCCCCACCCCTCAAATAATTCAAGCATATTATGCATACAGAAAAGTGCAAGAATCCTGCCTGTCCAAAGACAAACAGCATCCCCTGTGTAACCAGCTGCCTGATTTAAGAAGCAGAATTACCAAACAAGGTCAGGACTAGGGTATGGCAAAGAAACGCTATCCTCCTGCGTAAAATTTAAGGAGGGAGGAGTGCCAAAGAAACTGAGCCATCAACATAAATTATAATCTTGATGCAGTGTTTCTGAAAAATCAAAATTAGTGCCAAAAAAATCCATGATGAGAAAATATCCGTGCAACTGCGGGAAGCCTCCTCGTATCAAAGCGTAAGGCAAAAGGAAAACACCAGAACTGCCGATCTGGTTTTCACCTGTCTCCCCTGATTACCAGCTCGCCTCACAGTTGAGACCCTCCCTTCCAGGAAGGAAGAGTTCCTCTGATACATATTCTAGTCCCGTGCAGGTTCTTGCCTGTTTTTAAACTTTATATACATGCAGTCCCACTCTTGCATATGGCCTCAACAAGATGTCTGTGAGAGATATCCATGCTGTAGGAGGCTGTGGACAGATGTTGACAGGAGGGAGTGATACGGTCAGCTGTGCATCATGGAGAGACCAAGGTGGGAGCAGGTAGAGGGAGGCATAAGCACTGGCTGTAGCCTGCACTGGAAGAGGGACTTCAAGGATGGACAAGAGAACATGGAGTCTCATCATTTTGATTTTTGCTGTACTGGGGATGAAACCCAAGATCTTGCACTGAGCTACATCCACAGTTCTTTTTTATTTTTTTTACTTTGAGATAGGGTATCATTAAGGGAATCACTAAGTCACCCAGATCTTCCAGCCTCAGCCTCCTGAGTAGCCTGGATGACAGGCGTATGCCACCACTCCCGGCTCCCATGGTATTCTGGAAGAGTAAAATCCATAGGCTTGACTGGATATTGGAAGTGAGGGAGAGAGAGAGCGAAGTCAGGAAGACACCTGACTGGTGGGGAGACTGGCAGGGGTGATGATGAGTTAGGTTTAAGTGTGGCAAGTGTGAGGCACCTTTCAGAGGCATGAGTGCTCTAAAGATGTGGAGCAGGGAAATGGTCCTTCAGTGTCCTCCAGCAACCGATGATATCACTTGCAGAGGGCCAGGGAGGGGTGCACAAAAGGATCAGGAAGGGATGCTGTAGAGTTCTGGGAGCAGGAGGTTTGAGCAGGTATGTAAATCAGAATGAAAATATTAAACATGCAAAACTGTCCTGCCTGGCCCAGCAGCAGGATCTCCTAGAGGGTGGAATGCCAGCCTTGCCAACACCATGTTTACCTGCAGTCCAGGAGGATCTGAGTTGCAAAACATCCTGCAGATTAGGGGCTCTCTAGACCCAGCACCTGCCAGCCCCCCTTGCATCAGTAGCAGCTAAGTCAGCAAAGGCTTTTCTCCCTGACACCAAGGACGCTTACCTTTAAAGGCAAAAGAGCCTTTTCCGGCCTCAGGCTGGCCTTACTCACTCCTGCCTCCAGAGCCTCTAGGACCCGCCCTACAGAGCACCGCCCACCCCTCGGCCCCAGGGACCCAACTTCGTGCTCTGAGACACGCACCGGGCACCCGCTGGAGCATGTGCACCTGGCACCTCCCCATCAGTTCCCCAGTCCCAGGGAGCTCTTTTCCTCCAGACTGGCTGGGGCTGGAATTGCTTGGAATGAACCCAGAAAAGCTCTAGTTGCTTCCAGGACTGAAGTCAGCCTCCAGAGAACAAAGCTGCCAGTGTGGGCACAGGCTGGAGAGGGGACACTAGGTGTGTCCGGGCTGAACTCTGGGGCCCCGCCACCTTGTCATCTCCCCCTAAAGCCTCAAGTAGGAGAGGCTGTGGGGAGGCTGGGATTTCCTTAGGTCCTTTATCTTCTTAAAAACTCCTGATGCTCCCCGCTGCCCACTGAATAAAACCCTGACTCCCATGCCTGGCTTTTGGGACCCTTTGTGATCCCACCTCTTCAACCTTATCTCTTCTCTCCACCTTCATCTCCTCTCCTCCTCAATCCCCTCCCAGCTAGTGGCGCCACTCTGGTTTAAGTCCCCCTTTCAGGCCTGTGATCCCTCTCCCAGATGCAATGCTAATGCCTGGGGCCTTCTTCTCCAGGTGCACCCTCCCTAGACGAGTTACATTCTGTTTCCCCAGACTCAGGTGGCCAGAGGAGCCACAGCCCTACTAACCAGAGCCTAACCTCTGATCCAGGGTCTACGACTTCTCATAATAGCCTCTAGGAGCCATAAAACATGTAGAGAGAGAGGACACAGAGAAGTGGAATTTCAAGCAGGTAATGGGGGTCTGTGTTTGGGCAGGTCTGGTGGGTGAGGCAAAGGTAAAGTGGTTTTTCTGGCTATACTGCTTTGTCACAAGTGGCACCCTGACCGTGGGGATGGGGATTTGACTGAACTGCTGATACCGAGAATCAGCACAGTAAAGTTATGTGGAAAAACCTTTATACACATCTGCCCTCCCTCCCCGAGGCTCATCCAGGAGGGGACTGTTGCACCTATACACATGGGTCTTAGGGCTCAGAGAAGAGAAGGAGCATGCTCAGGCATGTTTGGCAAAAAACCCAAAAAGCAAACAAATGAAAAACAGTGGAGCTGGGATTCCAAAGTCTGAATCCACCATCAACCTCTGGACGCAGCCCATAGAGTCTGTGGAGTCTCTGTCTCTTCGCCCGTGATGATGGTCTGCTGCTTTTGCACCTGCTCTTCCCTCTGCCAAGAATGGCCTTCTCTCCATCTATTTGGTGAATTCATATTCAGCCTTCTAAATCCTGCTCAGCATGACCTTCCCCTCTTTTGAAGGGCTCTCCATTCCCTCTGCTCCTGTGGCACAAGCTCTGCTCTTGTACCTATATTTATACTGTACACTCATCCTCCCTCTTGTGTCCCCTCCAGTTTGGGGACTCCAGGAAGCTAGTCAGGGCCTCTCATCCCTCTGTCTCTGGGAAAGGGACCAGCACAGGGCTGGCAATTGGGCTGGCTGTGTGAGGAAATGGGAACTAGGGCAAGGCACTGAGCAGGAAGGTAGCAAAACCCAAAAGTTACTGGAGGGAAGTCTGTGTTAGCCACATTGGAAAATAGAGACCGACAGACCAGCTGCTCACGGGGCCCTTCGAACTGCTTTCAAGGCAGGTGGTGGAACCACCGAGCCAAATCCCCAGCCCAGCCCTTCTCCACTCCTTCACCCTCAGGTGCTCACAATGAGGGGGTAGAGAGACAGATGATAACAGCTAATTGAGAAATACCAAGGAATGAAGGACAGAAGACCCCCACTTGGGCACCAGAGCAAAGGTGTGGGGCTGGAGTGTGACATGAGGCTGAGCTTGTAACCTGGTGCCCTGAAAAAGGTCCCCACAGCAAGGCTTGGGGCTCCCTCTCTCCATGACAGTGTCAAATGCATGAACAGGATCATCACAAGATCCAGGACTGAGGAGGGAGGGAAGACCAGAGACTATAAAGGTCCTGAAGACAACCCAGAGTAAAGGAGGTTGATGTGGGAGTTGGAGCCAGGAAGACTCTGGTGTCCTGATAAGGACAGAGGTGGAAGGTGGCTCAAACTCTCCAGGCTTAACATATAGAAATTGGAGCCATGGGCAGGGGTGTGCCCAGAAAAGGACTGCTTTCCATCCTAGGGCTCCAAGCCCAAGTTGTATGCCCCTCGGCCAGCACTGGGCATACTGCTCAAGAATGCCAGGAGTCATCTTGGCCTTTCTGTTTCCAAAAGAAACCCCACTATGGACCCCTTCACCAAGAAAGGGAGCTAACACAGGAGCTAACACTAGTCCTAACCTAGAACTGTGGCCAGACCTTGAGACTGTTCCAAAGGCACGGGTCTAGAAGAAGAAACATGGTGAAATCAGATGACAATACCAGCACCACCATCAGTAAACATGCATATGCCGAGCATATCATGAGCACGCCTGAAAAGTCTCACCACCACTCGTGTAGTATGTTATGCATTACATGCTATCCACGAGAAAGCCACGATTCGTAGACCAGGGGCTCGAGCCCGGGTTTGCAGACGAGCTGCTTCAATGCCCGTCTCCCGTGCCCTTATCCATTTAGTCACCTGCCTCTTCTCAAGCTCTTCACACTTAGGTGTTACCACAGATGCACCTGGACTCTCAGAAGACAGGCCATCTTAAAGCAGGAAGAGAGCCCAACTGGTGCAAAACCTGGGGGACAGGAAATGTGGAGGAGGAACCAGGAAGGCAAGGAGGCCTCAATCAGGGAGCAAGACCTGCATAGTTTCGCTAATAAAGAATTAAAAGCCACTTTCCACGTGGTAGAATGACGCCCGCTCAAAATGCTTTACAAATATTAATTCACTTAATCTTCACAACAATCCTAGGAGATGGTACTATTATTATTCCTGATTTATCTTAAATTACCCCGGGACAGAGAGGAATCCAGAGTCCTAGCTCTAAAGCGCTAGGCTGGGCGGCTCCCAGTTTCCCTTACAGCCGGGTACCAGCTCCTCCATTTTACTAGAGGCTGCTAAACTCAGAGAGGTGAGCTCACTTGCCCAGGGTCACACAGCGAGCGCTCTCCAGGGTCGTCGCACACCGGGAGCAGAGAGGATCCGCCAGCCGTCGTGGAGCCCCGCCCCGGACGTGCCCGGCCCAGGCCCCGCCCACACGCCCCTCCCTCCTGACACACCAACTGGCCAACCAATGGCTGGGGTCCTATAAACGCTCGGCCGGCGCGCTCTAGCAGCTAGGAGGTTGGAGGTGTTGCGTGTGAGAGAGTGGGGTTTGAGCCAAGGGTCCCGAAGTGAGTGCACCAGCGCGCCGTTGGGCAACAGACGGAAGGAGTCCGAGTCGCAGTCCGAGTCCGAGGACCAGAGCGGAACCTCACCCGAGAGCGCCGCCCGTCCGCCCGTCGCCGCCCGCGCAACCGGCGCTGCCAGAGCCACCAGTGCAGAGC